CAGTCCTCCGTCCGTCGGGGGTGAGTGTGCTCTTGGCACGGACGTCCTTGAGGACAGGCAGGAGGACTTTGAGTGTCTTGCAGCTGCTGTACCTCGTTTCGCCTCCTTGCTGCTTGCCCCTGAGGGAGACCCGGATGCTCCTGACATCCCGACCCCGCGCTCTTACGCAGAGGCGATTACGGGTCCTTACTCCTCTCAGTGGCAGGCAGCAATGGATGCCGAGATGGCATCCTAGAAGTCCACAGGCACTTACGTCGACGAGGTTCCCCCACCTGGGGTGAACATAGTCGATGGCATGTGGATCTTCAGGGTGAAGCGGCCGCCGGGTTCTCCGCCTGCCTTCAAGGCGCGCTACGTTGCTCGAGGTTTCAGTCAGCGACAGGGAGTTGACTACTTCCAGACCTTCTCCCCCACCCCGAAGATGACTACTCTTCGGGTGTTGCTGCACGTAGCTGCTCAGCGTGACTACGAATTACACTCCCTGGACTTCAGTACTGCTTTCCTGCAGGGCAGCCTGCACGAGGAGATCTGGCTGCGCCGACCACCTGGTTTCACTGGGTCGTTTCCTACAGGTACCCAGTGGAGCCTCCGCCGGCCAGTCTACGGTCTCCGCTAGGCACCTCGCGAGTGGCACGACACACTCAGGACTACACTTGCGGCTCTTGGGTTTGTTCCTTCTACAGCAGACCCGTCGCTGTTTCTACGCACCGACAACTCGCTGCCGCCCTTCTACGTCCTAGTGTACGTCGACGACCTCGTCTTTGCCACGGCTGACACTGAGGCACTGACCCTAGTGAAGTCCGAGCTGCAGAAGAGACATACCTGCACTGACCTGGGTGAACTGCGCAGCTACCTTGGCCTGCAGATCACCCGGGACAGAGCACGGCGCACCATCACACTGACTCAGTCACACATGGTGCACCAGGTCCTTCAGCGCTTCGGCTTCCAGTACTCCTCGCCACAGCTCACTCCTCTGTCTACCAGCCACTCGCTCTCAGCTCCACCTTCGGACGAGTCCGTAGAGCCGAGTGGTCCGTACCCAGAGCTTGTGGGTTGCCTCATGTACCTGATGACTTGCACTCGACCTGACCTCGCGTACCCTCTCAGCCTTCTGGCTCGCTACGTGGCTCCCGGTAGGCACCGAAAGGTGCACTGGGATGTTGCGAAGAGGGTACTGCGTTACCTGTGCAGTACGTCGGGCATGGGGCTTGTGCTTGGAGGACGGGGTCCTGTTGTCCTCACTGGTCACGCAGACGCCTCCTGGGTTGACGACTCAGCTACGCAGCGGTCGTCGCAGGGTTACACCTTCAGCCTTGGGTCCGGCTCGGTTTCTTGGCGGTCTACCCGCTCGTCTTCAGTTCTCAGCTCCAGCTGTGAGGCTGAGATCTACGCCGGAGCTATGGCTGCTCAGGAGCTACGCTGGCTCACCTACTTGCTGACCGACTTGGGAGAGCAGCCTCGTTCGCCTCCAGTCCTGTACGTAGACAACAAGGCCATGATAGCCTTGTGTCAGGAGCACAGACTGGAGCACAGAACGAAGCACATCGCTCTGCGATACTTCCTTGCTCGAGAGTTGGAGCAGCGTGGTCAGCTTCGTCTAGCGTACGTGGCCACTCGGGCCAACACTGCTGATGTCTTCACCAAGGCACTTCCGCCTGGTGACCATCAGCGCTTTGTTACTGTGTTAGGCCTTGTGCCTACGTTGCCTCACTTACTTACTGCCTGACTCTGCCTGTACTGTGATCTATCTATATACCTGCATGCTTGCACTTGTTAGGGTATGATCACTGTATTGTTTGTTCTCTTTATATAACTCTGCATGTGAACTGGCCTTGTGGCCCTTTGCTTGTGCTCGGACTGTGTGGTGACTTTGTGATCCACCCTGAGCTTGCTTTGCTTTGCTTCTTCTCTTGACTGGTCTTGTGACCATTGCTTGTTCTGGCTATCCCCCACTTCGCCTATGGGGGTGTGTCAAACATATATGCTTAGTTATATCTAGGCTTAGTTTATGTGTTTATAGTTGTCTAGGCTATAGTGGGTTTAGCCTTAGGGGGTACAAATTTCTCTCGACATTCTACTTGTACCCCTTCCCTTTTCCTAGTCCATCATTCTCGCCTACTATTCTCACAGTTTACTATTGCTATGTTGTGATCAGTGTGCCTTGCAATTATAACTCTGCATGTATACTTGCCTTGTGGCCGCGTGCTTGTGCTCAGAATACGTGGTGATATTGAGACCCACCCTGGGCTTTGCATTGCTTTCTTCTCTTGCCTGATTGGTCTTGTGACCGTTTGTTGTGTTCGCTATCCCTCACCTTGCCTATAGGGATGTGTCAAAACATAGTTATATGTTGTTAAATCTCCTAGGCTACAGTGAGGTGTTCAGTATAGAGTACAACCCTAATTATGGCTTCATACTTGTATCTCATCCTTGCTACTCCTACCTCATTCCTGCACAGTTAACCCTCGACACGTTTGGCATGTGGGCGTAAGTTTTTGGCGTGGGAGCCGCTTGCTCAATACGGGATCGATTGGTATTGAAACGGTCAATCTGGGGTTTCCAGAAGCCAATGAGTCGCTGCCCCTTATGCAGCGTCGTTGGTACCCTTACCCTCCGGACCAGATCGAAGCGGTTGGACGGCTGGTCCAAGACATTATACAGTGCCACCAAATCCGTCCTATTGATGTTGTCGGGCATGCTGATGTAGCTCCGGGCCGCAAGACGGATCCCGGTCCCTTGTTTCCCTGGCGGGACCTGTTACTGCGCTATAAAATCAGCGCCTGGCCAGATTACGACCGCGTTCAGTTCTATCAGCGCAATTTCCCCTTCATACTTCCCGCCCGGCAGAGACAGGCGATCGCCACGCTGCAAAAAAGGTTGCTGAACTACGGTTATGACACTCCTCAATCTGGCGAGTTGGATGAGAAAAAGTCTACCGTGATTGCGGCGTTTCGGATGCATTTACGTCTCAGGCTTGACGATGGTGCGCCAGAGTATGGTTGCGTTGCTGGACAAGTACCAATATTGAGTATTTGGTTGTCGATTATGTGTTAGTTGTGCATGCTGATGCTGATTTGAAGGGTCTATTATGTGTTAGTTGTGCCTTTCTTGTTAGGCACTGCCTGTTGGTGTGTATTTCCCGATTGCTGCATGTAGCAGGTTTATAAGTTCTTGAACATGTTCAGTGGCGTGCGCGTGTTTTTCTGAAGAAATTTGTACATGCACCAGAACAGTTATCGCGCTCTCTTTACGGGTACAGTTTGTCTCCTGCAAAGCAGCGCGACACCGCACCCGAATTCCGTGGTGCTACATCATGTTCATTTCGATTCATGAATCACGGTTAGAAACGGTTTCAAGACAATCGAAAACGGTACTAATCTAGAATGGAGTCTAAACATAATGAACCTGACTAAACAGCAGAGGTAACGTACACGTACATACATACACAGCACCATTCCAATCCAAGAATCAGCGCAGAGATTTGCACAGCACCTTCATTCTTCAGCGATTTTAGGAGCACACAATATTGTAAGGCGGAGCTTTGATGTGATGTGTTCACAGCAGCGTCTGGGATAGTGGTATGGTGTAGCCCAGCAGTGGCAGTAGGTTTCCGCAGCGGCAGCAGCGACAGTAGAGACAGAAGCGCGAGTATAGCGGCGTATGCGCCTGTTATACGGTCCGACAAACGTGTTTCCCCGTTATAAGCAACTGGACGGACATGTCCGGCACCTGAGAAAACGCGTGTACGCATCTAGAAACATCTTCGTTTTTTTTGTTTTGTTTTTCGAAAAGTTATGGTTATCATATGCTTAGATCGAGCGAGGCGGAGAGGAAATCCTACTGGGAACAGCAGCAGCGCAAGCACCAGGCTTTCTAGAATGGAACGACGGGGCAACAGTTGCGACAGCAGCGCCACCAGCGTGACTACTTTTGAGGCGCCTCGGGAGAACAGCAGCACCGCAAGCACTAGCGCTGCTAGAACGGAACGAAGGGGCAGCGCCGCGGGATTGTATCCGTTTCAGTCAGCCTCGTTTATCCGATTCCATCACGTTTATCATAACCGCCTTCGCAGCTGCAATATTCTCATCCCTCTCCTCCTCCTAGCAGCGTTTTCCGGCAAGGGACCTCCAAACTCCGTTACAAGCCACGCCGATATAAGCACAGACGAGTTTACCATCAGTCAGGCAGCGTATTCGATACAAGCTGCTACGTTATCACCGCTAAAGAGAGCCAGTCCCCTTCTTCCTCGTTTTTATTGGCTGAGCGCGTCACATTTGTTTCCATCCCTCCTTGCGTTCGCAGCTCCGGTGCCTGCTGAGCCTAAGAGAAAGCTTCGGTCGTGGCATCCGACGCCTAGACTCGGGCCGAACCGGGCCATTAGGTTCGGGCGTTTACTGTCTAGCTCTGGGCTTCTAGAGAATGGAAGCAACAGCAACAGTGGGCTGAATAATAACGGGGATGGCAGCAGGAATGGTAGCAGTAATGGGAGGAGCAGTGGCAGCAGTGGCACCAACACCACCACCACCTTCATCAACGATAATAACAACACAAACAGCAGCACTGGCAACAATAGCAGCAACAAGAAGAACAACGGCCGCACTGGCAGGAGCAACAGAAATAACAGCACTCCCAGTACCAACAGCACAAGCAGCAACACTGGCAGCAGCAGCAGCAGCAGCAGCAGCAGCAGCAGCAGCAGCAGCAGCAGCAGCAGCAGCAGCAGCAGCAGCAGCAGCAGCAGCAGCAGCAGCAGCAGCAGCAGCAGCAGCAGCAGCACTAGCAGCAGCGGCAGCGGCAGCGACAGCAACAGCACGGCACTGGGCGACTGCAGCAGCACATGCGTTGCCTTCTCAGTGGCTATCACCCTCTGCATCGTCATGTGGCCCTGTGCACTCGTCTGCAGTGTCTGTGCCATCTGTAGCATCGCCGCAGCTAGGCGCCGCCGCCGCCGCCGAGCCTTGGGGATAGGCTCGGCAAGCAGCGATTCTCTGCTCCAGTCTATGAGGCGGCTTCAGCAGGAGCGGGCGCGGGAGCAGGGGAGAGGAGGGCAGGAGGGTCTGGAAACGCAGCAGCAGCAGCAGCAGCAGCAGCAGCAGCAGCAGCAGCAGCAGCAGCAGCAGCAGCAGCAGCAGCAGCAGCAGCAGCAGCAGCAGCAGCAGCAGCAGCAGCAGCAGCAGCAGCAGCAGCAGCAGCAGCAGCAGCAGCAGGTGCCGCCGTGGCGGGAGCGATGGCAGGAACTAGAGGACCAGTTTTTGCAAGGGGGGCTGCAGGGGCAGCAGCAGGAGCAGCAGCAGAGGCGACAGCAGCAGGAGCAGGAGCATCAACCGGGGAGGCAGCAGCAGGAACGGGAGCAGCAGCAGCTGTGGCAGCAGCTTTTGCAGCAGCAGCTACATCAGCAGCGGATGAACAGTGTTTCCAGGGGGCAGGGCGGCAGCGGTTCACTAGCAGACAATGCACGCCGACCGCTTGAGTTGCTGTCTCCCACGGCTGCTGCTGCTGCTCTGTCTGCTTCTCTTGCCTCTGCTGGGGCTGGGGGTAGGAGGACAGGAGGAAGCAGAGCGAGCGGTTCTCATCCCGCTGGTTCTTATTTGCTGCCTGTGCACGTGGTTTGGGGGACAGGGAAAGGTGAGGAGGCGAAGGAAGGGCAAGCGGGAGCGAAAACAGGCGGTGGGGAGAAAGGGGGTTGTAGTGAGGGAGAAAAGCAAGGGGCGGAGGAGGGAGGAGAGAAGGCAGGAGAGGAGGGAGTGCTTTTAGAGGGAGTAGCAGGGGGGTCAGGAGGGGAAACAACAGGGAGAGCAGCAGAGGGAGCAGCAGGGGAGACAGCAGGGGGAGCAGCAGTGGGAGCAGCAGCGTTGACAGCGACACCTGGCATGCTACGATTGGCTGCTGCTGCAGAGGCGGCTGCGGCAGCAGCAGCAGAGGCGCAGGAGAGGGGAGAGGAGGAGTTTTTCTGTCCCATCTGCCTCTGTGACTTTGAAAAGGGCCAAAGCGTGTGCTTCCTTCCCTGCTCCCACTGTAAGTTCTCACTTTGTTTCCCTTCTCTTTTTTCTCCCTTTCCTCTAACTTCCTGCTACTCAAAACACACCTGCCAAGCGCACCAAGTGTGTAGGGGCAGCCGTCCTTCCCAAGTGTGTAAGATAATGTTTTCCCCGTCCCACCTGTCCCTCCCTCCCTCCGCCTTCGTTTCCCTTCCACCCACCCCCCCATCCCCAGCATATCACTCGGAGTGCATAGTGAACTGGATTGTGAAGCACTCCGTGTGCCCAGTCTGCAAGGGAGCAGAATAGAAGCATGACTGTTCCTTCTCCTCTCCTTCTGCCCTCCTTGGCCCTTTCCCTCCACTCCGCTCTCCCCCTGTTCCCAGCGTATCACTCGGGGTGCATAGTGAACTGGGTTGTCAAGCACCCCGTGTGCCCCGTATGCAAGGGAGCAGCTTTCGTGCTTGAAGCGGGGGAGATGGGGGCAGGGGAGGTGGGAGGAGGAGAGGTAGATGTAGGGGAGGGGGTTGCAGGGGAGGTGGGAACAGGGGAGGTGGATGCAGGGGAGGTGGATGCAGGGGAGGTGGATAGTGAGGAGGTCAGAACAGGGGAGTTAAATACAGGGGAGGTAGATGCTGGGGAGATGGGCACAGGGGACCAGGGGTCACAGCAACAACAGCAGCAGCAGGAGCAGCAGCAACAGCAACAACATCAGCAGGAGCAGCAGCAGCAGGAGGAGGAGGAGCAGCAGGAACAACGACCCGCAGAGGAGGATGAAGGGGGAGAGGAGCAAGTACCCTTGTGGCGAGAGCAGTTGCAGGGGGAGGCGCACTGGCAGGAGGAGGGGCAGCAGCAAGATGGGGAGGTGGTGGTGGTGGTGGTTGATGGGGAAGAGGCAGACGGGCGGAGAATTAACAGCTCTCTTGGCCCAGTGAGAATTGGTTCGGATGGGTGAAAATGGGTGGGAATGGAAGTAATTGACCTGGCTTGACCCTCAGTGTGGCTCTCACAATTGTAGGGACTTCTACGGAAATGCTAGTACGGCAGAGAAAATTCTCTGATTTGCATGAAAACTCTGATATTTCGGCCTTTTTCTGTTTCTACTCTGAAAGTTGAGATTTTTATGGGCCTCAACTCTGATGTTTCAGTTTTTTTTTTTAGGCAGCGTCTGATATTCCATAATTCTTTCGGGAGTGTACTTTGATCGATCGAAGTAAAAACACGAACCCGACTCTAATTCAATGTTCCTGGTTTGGCGCCGACACCTGGGAGTAGGGGTGGAGTGGAACTTGACTGTTGTCCCGTCAGTCACGCGATATCTAGGACAACTGTCAAGTTTGGTTAGCGACGCCGCCGCGATATCTGGGACAACTGTCAAGTTTAGTTAGCGACGCCGCCCTGCGGCGCGATTTTTCCCTCGTAAGAACCAGCGCACACATGTTACACCACTCATTGGTCCTCCTTGTTGGGCTGAGAAAAAGCCCTTAGGATCTTTTCAAGGCTAAGACCTCTTGTAGTAGGAATGTTGTAATTGCGGAAGCGTAATAACTGAGTTACTTGAACCACCTTGCATTGGTATGTGAGAACAAGATAAGTTGGTAATAGCAAAGAGATACAAAGCTTTTATATGATTACAAAGGAATATGAAAGGTTTTGCTTTTAACTGTTTTTGCTGTTGCGGTTCGATACAGTGACGACTCGGGTAACTGCTCAGTATCGAGTCAGTTATGTGTCCTTGCTGTCGCACTGTATTTTTCGTCGAGTCAAAGGTCAGCGACCTTTGACCTTCGCGTAACCTCCAGCGGTTGCTTTTGTTGACTCGTGTGTTGCTTCACTGTAGTCTGCTCCGTTTCGTGTCGATACTTCGATACTTCAGAAGCGTTTAAGTTACTTGTTTCCAACACTCCTGCCATCTTTTGCTAGCCATCGCAGACTCGGCATGTAGTCACGTTGCTGCACCAGGCACCCATGAAACACTGCAGACAGCAGTGCACGGCAGTTGCGCCTCGTCGTTGCCGTGCATGCAATGCAACCACAACGCACCTCAAGGATTGCCCGTGTGGAGGGGTTAAGGGCCATCCTCTTTGAGCTAGGGTTTCATCCCCACCCCACCCCATGCTTCAACTCTTTCGCCCCGGCCCCCGGTTCTTTTAGCTAGCCACCTCCCTAGTTCCTGCTCGGCAGGCTCTCTCAGAACCCCGCCATGGCAGTGCAGGATGATCCCGCCACGGGCGATGACGACTCTGACTGGCCTGTTTTAACTGGCTTATATTTTTTTCTCAGCTCGCTAGCACCCGAGAAGGCAGCACGCGCCACGCCCGATAAAGCCTCCACCCAGAGGGAACCTACAGCACCGATTATCTCTGCCTCTCCCGACACCATCGAAGAGACAGCCGCGGAACCTACTATGGCTTCCGCCTCGCACCATCCCAGTAAGACCACGGCACGCACCATCCAGCTCAAGCAGGCGACCTTGAGCTTCGCCAAGGCTTCATCGTTGACAGTCGACGACAACGACAAACCAGGGCCATCCGACGGCCGCGTCCTCGACGCAACATCAACATGGCACAGCTCATAGAAGACTTATACGATGATGCGGTAGATAAATTCAAGACTCGGTGGGTGGCACGATTTCCCTGGCTTCTAATTACTAAATCCATGACGGGTTTGTCTACGTTCAAGTGGACTGTTTGTGGAGCACATGCTGGCGATGCAGGCAAGTGCGGGAGGCACAGGAAAGGCGCCACCGACGTGCAGACCCAGTCGTTTCGTAAGCTCGTCGGCACCCAGAAGCACAAGCTGGCAATGGCGAAATTCACAGCTCTGCAAGAGTGCGGGACGTGGCAGCCACTGATCGACCAGCATCGCGCCTCTGTTGACCAAGAGAAAATGCGCGTCGTCGCCCTTCTCGACTCGCTGCTGTTCGTCAGGAAGTCCGACGCGTGTCAAAATGTTATAGTGCTTACATTTGTGTAGGCTGTAGAGGGGTAGCCCATAAGGGGTACAACCCAATTAGGGTTAGTACTTGTACCCAACTTTCTGCTCAATGCATTCATTCTCGTTCAGTATTCTGACATGGTTTCAAAGCAGGTCCTGTTCTAGGACCGATTTTTCTTAGGGCCCACCACAGAGCGCTGCCCCACTAGCTGCCCTGTCGCCCTGCCCTAACCGTCGCGCCGCCCTGCTGCCCGCAGTGCCGGCCTTAGTAGCCCGCGCGCCGCCCTTTGCAGCCCGTCGCACTGCCCTTTGCAGCCCGCGCACCGCCTTTAGCAGCCCGCGCGCCGCCTCTGCACCCCGCGAGCCGCCCCTGCAGCCTGCTCGCCGCCAGCTTGCGGCCCGCTCGCCGCCCCTTGTAGCCCGCGAGCCGCCCTCTGGCAGCCCGCGAGCTGCCCCTGCAGCCTGCGAGCCGCCCCTACAGCCCGCGCGCCGCCTTTAGGAGCCCGCGCGCCGCCCCTGCAGCCCACGAGCCGCCCCTGCAGCCCGCTCGCTGCCCGCTTGCGGCCAGCTTGCCGCCCCTGCTGCCTGCTCGCCGCCACTGCGGCCCGCTCACCGCCCATGCAGCCTGCTTGCCGCCCGCTTGCGGCCCGCTCGTCGCCCCTTGCAGCCCACGTGCCGCCCTCTGGCAGCCCGCTCGATGCCACTACCAGCCCGCGCGCCGCCCTCTGGCAGCCCGCTCGCCACCCTTTGCACCCGTGCGCCGCCCTGCTGCCCTGCTTAAGCCGCCCGGCTGCCCTGCTTGCGCCGCCCTGCTTGAGCCGCCCTGCTGCGCGCAGCCCTACTGCCCAGCGCCCTCCTGCCCGGGCCGCCCTGCTGCTGCCTGCCCTACTGTGCGCCGCCCTGCTGGCCGCCCTAGCCGTGCGCAGCCCTGCCCTGCCCTGCGCGCTTCCCTAGTGCTCGCACGCCGCCCTGCCTGCGTGCTGCTCTGCTGGTCGCGCGCCACCCTGCTCTGTCCGCTATGGCTTCTCTCAGTGTACTCACCTTCGATCATGAGGGTCGTCCGATCCAGTTCGATACGTGGCTCGACGACTTACAGCTGTACCTACTAAGCGAGTCTAGAAACAGCATTTCGTTGTTTGAACACACGTCTGGAGTCTCTCTCGCCCACAGCTGACAGTGCGACTCGCTCACAGTGGCTTATCCGTGACGCTGATGCTCGCTTAGCCGTTCGCAACCACCTGCCGTTAGCCGAACGCGCTCACTTTGGCCAGCACAAGACTGCTAAAGCCCTCTACGACGCTGTAGTCGCTCGTTACTCCTCCCCTGCCACTGCTGCTCTAGGCCGCCTTATACTGCCCTACCTGTTTCCTGAGCTGTCCGCCTTTGCCACAGCCGAGGACCTCGTTACCCACCTCCGCACTAGCAACGCTCGCTACCGCGCTGCCCTCCTAGCAGAGTTTCTTGACAGGAACCCGCCCCCGATGTACATCACTCTCTACTTCATAGTTACCCGCCTCCCTAACTCTCTTCGCGCTATCCGAGACCACTTTCTCGCACTTGACCCCACTGACCTCACTGTCGACCTGCTCGAGAAGCACCTCCTTGCAGCTGAGACTAGCGTAGTCGCTGTAGGTGCTGATCGTGGCACTCCTCGCACACCCTTTGAGGGGTGTTCCACCCCCCCCCCTTGCCCCCTCCTACGCTTCTGCTGTTGATGTTGACATCCTTGGTGCTGAGGATGTCGGGGCTGCTTCTGCTCTTAGTGGGAAGCGCCGCAGCAGCAAGGGAAGGGGGGCAAGAGTGGTGCCGAAGGCAGCGGGAGTGGTGGTGGTGGCGGCAGTGGAGGCGGTGGAGGTGGCGGAGGTGGTGGCAGCGGTGGGAGTGGTGGCGGGAGTGGGGGCTTTGGTCGTGGTGGTGGTGGCAGCGGTGGGGGTGGCGGTAATGGCGGCAGTGGGAGTGGTGGCAGTCGGGTTGGAGCTCTTCAGAGGGGAGGTTCTGGCGGTGGCCAGAGGCAGCAGGAGGAGCGTCGCAGCAAGACCCCTTCGCCCCAGCAGCTTCGTGAGTGGTTTGCTCAGCGTGGGGCGTTTGGGGGTAGTGTTCGCTACCCGTATGTCATTCGCACGGATGACCGTGCTGGTCAGACATGCGGGAAGTATCACTCTCAGCACCGCTGCTTCTCCCGCCTTGACGACACTTGGTGCGTAGAGTTTGGTGACAAGGCTGAGCGCTCCGGCTGGTCAGAGCCGCTTAGGTATGGAAATGATATCTTTGCTCTTGACTATGATGCTATCCTAGCTGCCATGTATGCCTTGTCTGTTAGTGCTGAGGGTGACTGTTACCGGTGTGTGCCGCCTGACCCAGGTATAGAGGTTGCTGCTCTATGTGCTAGTGAGTCTGCTCTCCCTGATACTGCGCCTGCTGAGGCCTTGCAGACCTTTACGCTTGACTCATGTGCTTCCCGCTATTTCTTTCGCGACAGTTCCACCCTCACTCCTCTCTCTGCACCTGTACCGGTCAGAATGGCTGACCCCTCAGGGGGCCCAGCTCTTGCCCGTTCCTCCAATGTTCTCCCGTGTCTGGCAGTTCCGTCTGGCTCATTGTCAGGTTTTCACCTCCCCTCGTTCTCTACGAACTTGGTGAGTACCGCTGCCCTCCAGGATGCGATGGTCACTACCACCACTCCTGGGGGTTAGCGTGTGTCGGGCCGTCACCTGGACACGTTCACCCGTTGGCCTGAGTCGAGTCTGTACACACCGACTGGTGAGCCTCCTCGGGTAGCTGCGTCTGCTCTGGTGTCCGCGTCAGGTCCGGTAGCAGCCCCCTGCTCGTGTCGCCTCCTGTCGCACCAGACTCTCCTGTGGCACCACCGACTTGGTCACCCCTCCCTGCCACGCCTTCGTGGCATGCACTCCCGCCTCCTTATTTCTGGTCTTCCCAGGTCTCTGCCTCCCCTCCCGCCCTAGCCTGACCCGCCCTGCCTTCCTTGCGTCGAGGGGCAGCAGCGCGCCGCTCCTCACT